AGAAAGAAAGAAAGAAAAAGAAAGAAAGAAAGAAAGAAAGAAAGAAAGAAAGAAAGAAAGAAAGAAAGAAAGAAAGAAAGAAAGAGAAAGAAAGGCAGACCTCCTGAGAACCTGAGAAGTGTCTCCTTTCAGGGAGGTCGTGAGAACTACTGTGGCATCACTGACTACAATCTGGCAGAGCAAGATGTCCAGGTGAGCTGAGGCCTAGGCCTTTGTAAGGCCGTGCACATAAGACGCAACCCCACCCCACATCTCTCACAGCCTGGCTGTGCTCCCATGTCCTGCAAATGGGTTTCTGCCTCGGGCAGGCATGGCCCAGGGGCCTGGCAGTCATCTCACAGGAGCTCATCAGCGGTCTCCTCCTGAGAAGATGCCCCAGACCCTATCCTGGGCACTATTTCTTTCCTGGGGCACCAGGAGTTTTCCAAAGCAGAGAAGAGTTGTGTGGGCAGAGCTGATACCTTAGCCTTGTTCTTTCATGAATACATAATACACACACATACACCTGTGTGCGTGCATACATGTACATACTGCACACACAGATACACAGGCACAACACCGCACACACGTACACATCTGTGTGCATGCATACATATACACACTGCACGCACATACACATGGCACACACATACACATGTGTGCATGCATACATGGCATGCATACATGGCATGCATACATGTGCATGCATACAGGCATACACATTGCACACATACAAGTTTACAGGTTAAAATCCCCTTTTCCATCCTTAATCTCCCTTCCATCATTGTCATGATGGATTCTGGGAACATCCCAACCATAGCTGATTCCTGCCTCCATCCCAGGCGCTCCAGCAGGTAGAAGGGCCCGGCACAGAAGGTACATGGGTCGTGATCTTCACCCAGCGCAACCCAGAACACCTCAGGCGAGGTACACATGGGCCTTCTTAATCCCTCAGCTTGCTTGGATGACGAGCTGTGGTGGAGGGAGGTAGGGGGAACCCCTTTCTCCGTGATGACTACTTCCACCAACACCAAGTTATCTTTCTAACTACTCCCCCACGCAAGTGTTTGACCTGTACCAGTGGTGCACTGGGCAGGCGCTGGAGGAGGCTGTGAGAGACCGTTTCCATGGAGATGCCCAGGCAGCCCTGCTCAGCCTAGGTAGGGACCCAGCCGAGGCGTGGAGTAGGGGTCTTTCCTGGGATGGGACACTGAGGCCCCAGGCCTGCCTCTCCATCTCTGCCTCTCTGCTTCCAGCCTCAGTGGCCAGGAACACGCCGCTGTACTTTGCTGACAAACTTCACCGGGGCCTCCAGGTAAGACACATGCTCCCTCCCCTCCTCGTGGAGCCAAACTGGGCGGGGGTGGGGGCAGGGCTCTTCCTGGGCAGAAGAGGAGTTTCAGGCTGCCGGTAACATAACAGTGTCACGTGTACTTCTATAAAGCCACAGCAGCCCTCTTCCCCTGCAGTTCCCAGCAGTCTTCTTGTGGGTAGAAGGGCCCGAGATCCAGCTCAGTGGCAGAGGGAACCCTTCTCTACAGAGAGCAGAGCCCCTGCCTTATAAGGGGAGGGGAGGGAGCTTCAGTTAGAACTAAGCTAGCTGACCAGCAAGAACATGAAAACTGTTTGGGCCTTGTTAATGCCTATGCGATCAAATATAGATATGAATCTGCTTTGTAACAGTGCACTGTAGCCAGACATATTGCCATACGCCTGTGATCCCAGCACTCTGGGAGGCTGAGGCAGGAGGATCACAAGTTCAAGCCCAGCCTATGCAATTTAGTGGCTTACAGGCATCGTGATGCACACCTGCAATCCCAGCACTCGGGGAGGCTGAGGCGGGAGGATTGTTGGGAGTTCGAGGCCAGCCTGGGCTACAAAGTGAGCTCAAGGCCAGCCTGAACTGCATAGCTAGACCCTGTCTCAGAAAGACCAAAAAAAAAAAGAAAGAAAAAGAAAAAAAAGCCTTTTAGTGGCTTAGCGAGACCCTGTCTCAAAGTAAAAAATGGCCTGGAGAGGTGCCTCAGTGCAAAGGCCCTGGATTTAATCCCTGGTGCTTTTTTGTCAGTTGTAGGCAGCAGCAGCGGTACTAACGTTAGAATGACAGGAGCCAGCGTTTGTCAGGTATTTATTGTGTGCCAGGGTTATCCCGAGAGTGTTACACATGTCAGCTGATCATCACAGCTTCGCTCCATCCTTGTGTCATAGCTAAAACACCAAAGAACGAAAAGCTGGAGAGCCTGCCCCAAATCACACAGCTAGTAAGTGATACAGCCTCCCTAAGGAGCACAGAATAATTTAGGGCATTCGCCACCCTGTGTCACTTAGCCTGCTAGCTTAGCACCGAGGGATGGTCAGCGTTTGTTCTGTATCGTCCATTCTTGAACCAGCAGCCTCAGTTTGAGTCCACCAACAGGATTCAGTCGTTCTGTGCCATGAACCAGGCCCCCTGTGAGAATCACCCCTCAAAACCTAGATATAAAAAATTCACCAAGTTACAGAGAGTAAAATGTGAAGAAGGTAGAAGAGATCATTTTGGTAAATGGACAATAGTTCTCTGTGTGCTGCCTGAGAAGCCAGCATGGCTTGTTGACAAAAACCAAGTCTATAGAGCTGTAATCCTAGCTGCTCAGGAGGCTGGGGCAGGAGGATTCAAATCTAGCCTTCTCTGTTTATTTATTTATTTTTTGGTATCAGGAATTGAACTCAGGACCTTGCATTTGCCAGGCAGGTGCTTATGCCACTGAGCTATATTCCCAGCCCTTCAGGCTTAATGTTTTAATTCTTAAACCAAGAACTTCTCTAGGAAATTTTTATTTTACTCTTTATGTATATTTGGGTTTCGATATAAGAGAAACCATGTGATATTTAAGCTTGTTTCTAATTTATTTTCCCTAACATTATGGCCTCCAGGTGTATCTGTTTTTCTACAAATGACTCATTTATCTTTTTTTTTTTTTTGAGACAGGATTTTGCTATATAGCCCAGGCTGGCCTCAAACTCATGGTGATCCTCCTGTCTCAGCTTCCCAAGTACTGCACCACCACACCTGGCAAGTTTATCCTTCTTTATGGCAGAGTAGTACCATAAATGTGTATAAATCCACATTTTCTTTATCCATTCATGTGTTGATAGGCATGTAGGCCACTTCCAAGATTTAGCTATTGTGCTGGGAGTGATGGTACACAAGGCAGGAAGACCACCATGAGTTTGAGGCCAGCTTGCACTACATGGCAAGACCCTGTCTCAAAACAAAAACAAGGGGCTGGGGATTTCGCTCAGCAGCACAGCGCCTGCCTGGCAAGCACAAGGTCGTGAGTTTGATTCCCGGTACCGAAACAAAACAAAACAAAACAAATTTAGCTATTATGAATTGTATTGTTATGAATTCAGGTATTCAAGTACCACTGTAATATGTCTTCAATTTTTTTTGGACAGTGAAAGAAATTTTATTTGTGAAAATTTTGAGCAGTACACAATCCTTCTTTCTTTTTTTGTCTTTTTGAGATGGTTCTGCTATGCAGTTCAGGCTGGCCTTGAGCTCACTTTGTAGCCCAGGCTGGTCTCAAACTCGCAACAATCCTCCTGCCTCAGCCTCTCAAGTGCTGGGATTATAGGCGTGTGCCACCATGCTCAGCTCTTTTTT